TAATATATATATAAAATGTATAATCCTGGCGGGCTACGGCCAGACTTTGGCTGAGCGCAAGACTCAGTACGCTGCCAAAGAATGCGTAAGATGCAATTTTTTTTACTGTATGCGATCCCCTTGCCAATTGGGAGCTTTGCAAAAAAAAAAGAAATTCGAGAAAAAAAAGTTGCCATCAGCCGTCTTCGACGAATGTGACCGATTGAGTCAGCCCGTGACGAGGAGAGGGTCGTCGCTGCCCAATCGTGATGATAGTCGTGATGATAGTCGTGATGATAGTCGTGATCGCTGCCAAAGATCTCCTCCGGTCAGCGCGGTTGGCTACGTACGGTGCGAACGAAGTTCAACATACGTACTGTGGTAGTGTATAGTGTAGTGTATAGTGTAGTGTATAGTGTAGTGTATAGGAGAGTATGATAGTGTATAGTGTAGTGTATAGTAGTGTATAGTGTAGTGTATAGTGTATAGTGTAGTGTATAGTGTAGTGTATAGTGTAGTGTATAGGAGAGTATGATAGTGTATTGGGTAGTGTATAGTAGTGTATAGTGTAGTGTATAGTGTATAGTGTAGTGTATAGTGTAGTGTATAGGAGTGTATGATAGTGTATAGTGTAGTGTATAGTGTAGTGTATAGTGTAGTGTATAGTAGTGTATAGTGTAGTGTATAGTGTAGTGTATAGTGTAGTGTATAGTGTAGTGTATAGTGTAGTGTATAGGAGAGTATGATAGTGTATAGTGTAGTGTATAGTAGTGTATAGTGTAGTGTGTAGTGTATAGTGTAGTGTATATGAGTGTATGATAGTGTAGTGTATAGTGAAGTGTATAGTGTAGTGTATAGTGTAGTGTAGAGTAGTGTATAGTGTAGTGGATGGTAGTGTATAGTGTAGTGTATAGTGTAGTGTATGGTAGTGTATAGCAGTGTATAGTGTAGTTTATAGTGTAGTGCATAACAGTGTATAGTGTAGTTTATAGTGAAGTGTATAGCAGTATATAGTTTAGTGTATAGTGTAGTGTATAGCAGTATATAGTGTAGTGTATATTGTAGTGTATTGGCATGTTCTGTTTACTAGACAAACCTTTCGAATTGTCTGTGTCGGGTGGTGGCCGGTTTAACGACACATTTATTTACACGATATAACCCAAAATAAGTAATATTTTTTAAAACTTTTTTTTAAACATGCTTTTATGAAATATACTGTAGTAATGGCAGAACTGGCCCCGAAGCTTGCCATAACGTAAGGGACCGTGGTCATTTACAGCCAACGTCAGTTTACCGTGGACAATTAGACTCAAGCCGAAGCATAACATATTAAAAATAATGTTGAAATTTTTTTTATGATAGAATATAGTATTGTCATCAGTATGACATAAGTATACCAAGTTTGCAATCGATACCACATTGGGAAGTGGGTTGAAATTGAGTTACAAGATTTGAAGATACAACGGCAACAACAACGGACAGAGTGAGTTCGGCGTGTAAAAAAACCTGTGTTATGGATGATATTGGTCGCGACAGCATACTAAGTGTTAATCATAATAAACATCACGGTAATTATATATTAGAGTTAATCGCAACAAGTTTTTGTTCGACTTGTGACTTGCCGCTAGGAGGGGGGGAGAATGAACCACAGAGGCACGAGCAGGCAGGCAGCAGCAACCGCCATGCAGCGATGAGCCGTTCGCTACCAACAATTTCCCAAGCTCTGCGATCCTATCTCTTCGTCTGATGAAGGGTGCCATCGGCCGATTAACGGGCGCTTGCACGCCGGAGAAAGCCCGACTCGTGCGAGGGAGAAACACTCGATGCCGCAGAGATGGAACAGGCAGAGTTCAGGTTTATGGTTAATCAAATAATTGATTAATATTTATTGTAACTACGACAGCTCGTCATTAACAGAGGAATGGTCGGTGAGCGAACACATTGGGGTTTATGGAAGCACTACACTATCCACTGCACTACTATACACTACACTACTATACACTACACTACTATATACTACACCATACACTACACTATCCACTGCACTACTTTACACTACACTACTATATACTACACTATATACTACTATACTATATATTACTTTACACTACTACACTATACACTACGATACACTATACACTACACTATACACTACACTATACACTACAACACTATACACTACTATACACCACTACATTATACACTACTATACACCACTACACTATACACTACTATACACCACACTATACACTACTACACTATACACTACACTATACACTACACTATACACTACTATACACTACACTATACACTACTATACACTACACTATACACTACACTATATACACTACTACACTACACACTACACTATACACTACACTACACACTACACTATACACTACACACTACACTATATACACTACACTATACACTACACACTACACTATACACTACACTATACACTACACTATATACACTACACTATACACTACACACTACACTATACACTACACTACACACTACACTATACACTACACTATACACTATACTATACACTACACTATATACTACACTACACACTACACTATACACTACACTACACACTACACTACACACTACACTACACTATGCACTACACTATACACTACACACGACAACACTATACACTACGATACACTACACTACACACTACACTATAGACTACTGTACACTACACTATACACTACTATACACTATACTCTACACCAGGGGTCCTCAAACTTTTTAAACAGGGGGCCAGTTCACTGTCCCTCAGACCGTTGGAGGGCCGGACTATAGTAAAAAAAAAACTATGAACAAATTCCTATGCACACTGCATATATCTTATTTTGAAGTGAAGAAACAAAACGGGAACAAATACAATATTTAAAATGAAGAACAAGTAAAGTTAAATCAACAAACTTGCCAGTATTTCAATGGGAACTATGGGCCTGCTTTTGGCTAATGAGATGGTCAATGTCCGGTTCCATATTTGTCACTGCTAGTCGTAACAAGTGATGCAAGTGTGCATCCGTTAGTCTAGATCTGGTTGGAGATTTCAAATGTTTCATTCTGGAAAAAGTCTGTTCACAGACATAAGTGCTGCCAAAGATGGTTGCCATTTTGAGTGCATGGTTCCTGAGATGAGGATATGTCTCAGAGGGGAGAGATGCATAGAAATTATGAAGGCTGCTTGACTTGAATGCGTCTTTCAGAGAGTCACAATTCTGCAGTTCAGCCAGTTCCATTTGGTAAATTGTATCCACATTTTCAATGTCAATAGAAAATGGGTTACGGAAAAGCTGTATGTCCTGTTCATGGAGATGAAGCTCTTTAAATCCAAATTGGAACTCCTTTTGCAATTTTTCCAGTGAATCCACACGTTTTGTTTGGGAATGCAACCAATGGTTTTTCCGCTAACAGATTTTGAGTTGTGGGGAGATGGCAGAAGTTTTCCTCCTTCACTTGTTTGATGAGGAGGCCTAATTTTACTTCAAATGCTTTGACATGTGATTGCATATCACAGATGAGCTTCACCTTTCCTTGAAGTTGCACATTGAAACTGTTGAGTAGCTCTGTTACATCTGTCAGAAAGGCAAGGTGCCATTTCCATTCTGCATCATTGGGCTCTGGTACTTCTTTGTTTTTTTTTAAGCAGAAAAGCTGTAATCTGCGGAAGTAAGTCATAGAAACGTTTCAAAACTCTCCCTCGACTCAGCCAACGGACTTCTGTGTGATACAGAACATCTTCATAGTCAACATTTAGCTCAGACAGAAATGCCTGAAATTGTCTGTGGTTTAGTGCATGAGCTCTAATGAAGTTAACACAAGATACCACAAATTTCATAACCGAGTCCCACTTCAGTGATTTACTCCACAGCGCTTGTTGGTGGATGAGGCAGTATATGGCTATTGGTTGAGAATGGTTATGTTTGTCCATCTCTTGGTTAATGCGAGCAATTACTCCTTTCTTAGACCCCACCATGCTAGGAGGACCATCAGTTGTCACACTGACTAGTTTAGCCCAGTTCAGCTCCAAACCATTCACAGTTTGGCAAACCATTTCATAGATATCCTCTCTTCTTGGTTCTTTCGGTAAAGTCACGTAGAAGGGAAGTAATAAAATAATAAAAATAAAACATAATAAAATAATTCTCACGACGTTTCGGCCACAACGCAAGCAGCCGTCCTCAGGTGAAAACCAGGTCTGTCGGGGAGACAGCGTCTGAATGAAACAGCACACGAGCTTGGAGCATATATAAGCTGGGTTGGAAACGGGGGAAAGAGCGCCTTGACAAAATAATTTGCATATCAAGAGGAATTTAGCATATTTATGGGAAATGCAGGAATGTTAATAGTACTACATATGCAGCACGGGCATATGTAGTACAGTGCTACAAAAACAATATACCAGCAATAACTTTGCCCACACAGAGACATACAGACTCCACTGCCCATCAATGCAGTCTGATTGGGGGAAACTCCGCCCCCTCTCCCTCTTCCACCAATGACCGTCCTTCTCATGCAGAAAAAAAGTGACAGGCAGCGGCGGCAAAAACACCCGGCGGGCCGGATAAATGTCCTCGGCGGGCCGCATGTGGCCCGCGGGCCGTAGTTTGAGGACCCCTGCTCTACACACTACTATACACTACTACACTATACACACTACACACTACACTACACACAGACTCCTCGCTATTCCTGAGAGAATTCCAGACATTCCCAGGCCAGCCGAGCGACATCGTCCCGCCAGCAGCGTGCCCTGGGCCCGGCCCCGGGGCTTCTTCTACACCCAGTGGCACGGGGAGTTTACCGGGGAGGGAAATCCTCACCGGGTGCCCGAACCACCTCCACCGGCTCCTCTCGATCGGTGAAATGTTCATTCGGCGAGCAACGGAACGAATTTGTCGCCGCTGAGTTGTGTACCACGTGAGAACCGCGTGGCGACGGCTGCGGGGGCCATTGATGGATGGTGCGAGCACGTGACCGCTCGCGGCGCTCACGTGACCGCTGGGGGCGATCACGTGGCCGCTGGGGGCGATCACGTGGCCGCTGGGGGCGATCACGTGACCGCTGGGGGCGATCACGTGACCGATGGGGGCGATCACGTGACCGCTGGGGGCGATCACGTGGCCGCTGGGGGCGATCACGTGACCGATGGGGGCGCTCACGTGACCGCTGGGGGCGATCACGTGGCCGCTGGGGGCGATCACGTGGCCGCTGGGGGCGATCACGTGGCCGCTCGGGGCGAGCACGTGGCCGATGGGGGCGAGCACGCGGTAGGGCAAGCCGCCACTTTGTCGATGGCTTGCGGTGTCGTTTGAATACGTCATTCACTTGGCACGGGAGGACGGGTGGGGATGGGGGTGGGGGTGGGAGGGCGTTCTTTGTACTTTTTAAGCTGTCATTATTGTGCCAATATCACTTAAATTGGGTCTGCGCTGATGTGCGCGCGCGTGTGTGCGTGTGTGTCGATGTGTCTGTGGGGAGCGGTGGTGTAGCGGTTAGCGCGCTGCACTACGAACCTGGCGAGCCCGGTTCGATTCCCGCTCACGGCAAACACCAGTGACGATTATCTGAACCGGTCCTGGGCCTCCCCTAGGTCGACTCAGCCTCAAATGAGTACCTGGTGCGGTGTGTAAACATCGCCACTAGGGAGACAAAGGCGGTCGGGCGTGGCGCTGGCCACCCACCCCCTCGTGTACCATTCCGGCCTTCATAGGTGCTCGCTAACAGCACTTGCCCCTACAGTCTGTTAAGGCTATATGGGGGATCTTTGTTCTTTGTTGTGTGCGTGTGTGTCGATGTGTCTGTGTGTGCGTGCTTGTAGGGGAGGGGTGGTGTAGCGGTCAGCGCTACGCTGCGCTACAAACCCGGCGGCCCGAACTCGATTCCCGTTAACGGCCAACACCGGTGGCGATTATCTGAACCGGTCCTGGGCCTCCCCGAGGTCGACTGAGCCTCAAATGAGTTACCTGGTGCGATGTGTAAACATCGCCACTGGGGAGACAAAGGCGGACGGGCGTGGTGCTGGCCACCCACCCCCTCGCTTGTGCCGTGCCGGCCTTCATAGGTGCTACTCGCTAGCAGCACTTGCCCCAACAGTCCGTTACAGGCTATACGGGGATTTTTGTCTTTTGGTCAGGACATTTATTTTGCCCGTCAGTCAGTTTTAGTTTTTACAATTGGCCAGGGTGGTGAAGTATGGTCAAACAACCCCCCCCCCCCACCCCCAACCACTATCCGCACGTCAGGTGGATTGTTTGCCAGAGAGATGCAAACAATATTCATGTATTTATGTTCATCCTTCGAGGGTCACTGAGAAACTGGAAGAGGAGCCCACGTGATTAGAGAACACACACACACACAGCTTCATCACGCCGTTCAAACTGTGAACAAAAGTCAGTGATGTCTTCACGCAGCAGTAGATTGACCACGGCTGACGATGATGATGGTGGTGGTGATGGTGGTGGTGATGGTGATGATGGTGGTGGTGATGTCTTGGGGAGATCTTCACGCAGCAGTGGATTGACCACGGCTGACGATGATGATGATGGTGGTGGTGGTGGTGATGGTGGTGGTGATGGTGGTGGTGATGGTGGTGATGGTGATGATGATGGTGGTGGTGATGTCTTGGGGAGATCTTCACGCAGCAGTGGATTGACCACGGCTGACGATGATGATGATGGTGGTGATGATTGACCACGGCTGGCGATGATGACGATGATGGTGGTGATGTCATGGGGAGGTCTTCACGCAGCAGCGGGCTGACCACGGCTGACGATGATGATGATGATGGTGGTGGTGGTGATGTCATGGGGAAGTCTTCACGCAGCAGCGGGCTGACCACGGCTGACGATGATGATGATGGTGATGATGATGGTGGTGATGATGTCATGGGGAGATCTTCACGCAGCAGCGGGCTTGACCACGTGCTCACGACTAACGCGCGGTCGCTGTTGCCCTCTGCACGTTTCTCGGCAGCCACGTGGCGCCTGCCGGCCTCGTCGTGTTCATCGCCCTCGCGGCCAGCCTCGTGCATCGGTCCCTCGGAGGTGAGCGCGTCGACTGGTTCACCAGCGGTCAGTTGACGGGGCCAGGGTCACGCGTCTGTCATTAGGGGAGGGAGGCGATGTTGCTGCTGCTGCTGTACAATGTTTTTTTAAAGGCTTACACGAGCATTAATTGACGAACGCGTTGATGAGTGTTTGGTTGCCTTTTAGGGGTGTGATTCTGCTGTTGCTGCTGCTGTGGTCTAGCCTATGGGCACCCCCAGTAGCAGCTGTCCCTGTGTGTTAGCCTGTGAGTAGAGGGGAGCGATGATGTTGCTTCTACTCTGTGCAATGCCAAATTGAGTAATGTGCAATGAAGTTTTAAATAATATTTACTTCTTTTAAAAACACGCTTTTAAGAAATGTACTAGCAATGGCAGAACGTAAGGGACCGTGGTCAGTGTTGAGTCGATGGGTAGTGTTGAGTCTATGGGCAGTGTTGAGTCTATGGGCAGTGTTGAGTCTATGGGTAGTGTTGAGTCTATGGGTAGTGTTGAGGCTATGGGCAGTGTTGAGTCTATGGGTAGTGTTGAGTCTATGGGTAGTGTTGAGTCTCTGGGCAGTGTTGAGTCTATGGGCAGTTTTGAGTCTATGGGCAGTGTTGAGTCTATGGGCAGTGTTGAGTCTATGGTGCAGTGTTGATTATATGGGGCAGTGTTGAGTCTATGGGCAGTGTTGAGTCTATGGGCAGTGTTGAGTCTATGGGCAGTGTTGAGTCTATGGGCAGTGTTGAGTCTATGGGCAGTGTTGAGTCTATGGGCAGTGTTGAGTCTCTGGGCAGTGTTGAGTCTATGGGCAGTTTTGAGTCTATGGGCAGTGTTGAGTCTATGGGCAGTGTTGAGTCTCTGGGCAGTGTTGAGTCTATGGGCAGTGTTGAGTCTCTGGGCAGTGTTGAGTCTCTGGGCAGTGTTGAGTCTATGGGCAGTGTTGAGTCTATGGGCAGTGTTGAGTCTATGGGCAGTTTTGAGTCTATGGGCAGTGTTGAGTCTATGGTGCAGTGTTGATTCTATGGGCAGTGTTGAGTCTCTGGGCAGTGTTGAGTCTATGGGCAGTGTTGAGTCTATGGGCAGTGTTGAGTCTATGGGCAGTGTTGAGTCTATGGGCAGTGTTGAGTCTATGGTGCAGTGTTGATTCTATGGGCAGTGTTGAGTCTATGGGCAGTGTTGAGTCTATGGGCAGTGTTGAGTCTATGGGCGGTATTGTTAGCGAGCACCTGTTAAGGCCAGGATAGCACGCATGGCATCAGGCACTCATTTAAGGCTGAGTCGACCTAGAGGAGGCGCAGGACCGGTTCATGGGTCGACCATGGCCCTATGATGATGACGGCTGCACGTATGTAACCTTCAACGAGAGGGTCTTCCGTTCTCCTCCTCCAGATGGGGATATTTAGGTCGGGATCTACACAATCCGCGTGTCGCTGCGTCTCTGTGTGTGTGTGTGGGGAGCGGTGGTGCAGCGGTTAGCGCTACGCTACGCTACGGACCCGGCGACCCGAGTTCGACTCCCGCTCACGGCCACCAACGCCCGGCGACGATTATCTGAAACCGGTCCCTGGGGCACTCACCCCTAGGTCGACTCGGCCTCAAATGAGTCCCTGGTGTGTCGTGAACGTTCCCGACTGGGGGAGACAAAGGCGGCCCCGGCGAGACGGCCATTCGAACCGGTTCCTCGTGTGCATGGATTGGGCCTCCCTTAGGTCGACTCGGCCACACACAAAGACAAAGATCCCCCGTGTAGCCTGTAACAGACTGTACGGGCAAGTGCTGTAAGCGAGCACCTATGAAGGCCGGCACGGCACACGAGGGAGTGGGTGGCCAGCACCACGCCCGGCCGCCTTTGTCTCCCGAGTGGCGATGTTTACACACCGCACCAGGTACTCATTTGAGGCTGAGTCGACCGAGGGGAGGCCCAGAACCGGTTCAAATAATCGTCACCTGATGTTGGCCGTGAGCGGGAATCGAACTCGGGTCGCCAGGTTCGTAGCGCAGCGCTAACCGCTGCACCACCGCTCCGCACTCGGCCACACACACAGAGACACACAGAGACACACACATACACACAGATATATGGGACCAATTGTGTGTTATAAAACACCGTCGCCGGGGGATACAAAGACGGCAGGGGGCGACGCCGACCTCCGCCACTCGCCCACGCGGTGGCTCTGCTCTCGGCTGAGTGAAGTCTCCCTCCTCCGTCTTCTGCGTGCGTGTGTGCCCTCCGCTGTATTGCTACAAAACACACGTGGCACACACACCACATGTTGCAACACTGTACGCAATGGCCCGGATTCTTTTTTGTGTATTCTTCACTTCACTCCCCCCCCCCCCCCCGCGTGAGCGAGCGAGCGAGCGTGGTTTTAAATACAATATTAGTAATCAGCTCGCTTTTACGGTATCTGCTGCACATATGGCCGTATGGAGTTAATTATTGGGGGGGTGGTGGGGGGGTGGTGGAGAGAGCGTTTACACGGCAGCGTCATCGTTACCCGATTGTCCACCACCCCCCCATAACCCCCCCCCCCCCAAGAATTGTCCACCACTCCCCCCATAACCCCCCAGGATTGTCCACCACCCCCCCCCCATAACCCCCCCCCCCATAACCCCCCCCATAACCCCCCCCAGAATTGTCCACCACTCCCCACCACTCCCCCCCCATAACCCCCCCCAGGATTGAACACAAACTCCTCAACCTCCACCCCCCCCCCTCGATCGGCGTTCGCTTTCCCCGGGGGGGCTGGGGGCTGGGGGTGGGGGCTGGGGCTGGGGGCTGGGGCTGGGGGCTTGGTGTGGGGGCTGGGGCTAGGGGTGGGGGCTGAGAATGGGGGCTTGGTGTGGGGCTGGGGGTGGGGGCTGGGGGTGGGGCTCGGGCTGGGGCTGGGGGCTGGGGGCTGGGGCTAGGGGTGGGGGCTGAGGGTGGGGGCTTGGTGTGGGGGCTGGGGGTGGGGGCTGGGGGCTGGGGCTGGGGGCTGGGGGCTGGGGGCTGGGGCTGGGGGCTGGGGGCTGGGGGCTGGGGCTGGGGGTGGGGGCTGGGGCTGGGGGCTGGGGGTGGGGGCTGGGGGCTGGGGCTGGGGGCTGGGGCTGGGGCTGGGGGCTGATGCCGTGTGCCCTGGAGACGTCGCTGCCTTGGCCTCGAGTCACGTGTCGTCTTCTCGTCTCGACTGACAGCGGCAACCACTTTGCGTTTGCCTCCAGGACGCCGGCCGTTAAGCGAGGACAGGGAATGACGTCACGCACCTAGGGGGGGGGGCTGTGGGGGTCAGACATTTGTGACGATGTGTGACGAGGGGGGGAGAGGGTGAGAAATGTGACGTCACATCAAAAATGCGCAACTTAAAATAAATATAGACAACACGTTCTACATAATTAAATAGACTTTGTAATAAATGTTTTCTCCTACAACATCAGAGTGCAGCGCCACATTAAATATGCACTACAATGACAATAGTTTAAAGCGATTTGAAGCGTGTTTTATTTTGGGGGGGGGGGCAGAGCTTCGTGACGTCATATACCCATAGAATGACACGTGACATCAGCACTGAGATTACCCATAGACTAACGTACACGTACGTCATCACTGACACTACCCATAGACTAACACGTACACCTACGGAGACGTACGTCATCAATGACACTACCCATACACTAACACGTACGTCATCACTGACACTACCCATACACTAACACGTACGTCACCACTAACACTACCCATAGACTAACACTAACACGTACGTCATCACTAACACTGCCCATAGACTAACACGTACGTCACCACTAACACTACCCATAGACTAACACTAACACGTACGTCACCACTAACACTACCCATAGACTAACACTAACACGTACGTCACCACTAACACTACCCATACACTAACACGTACGTCACCACTAACACTACCCATAGACTAACACTAACACGTACGTCATCACTAACACTGCCCATAGACTAACACTAACACGTACGTCATCACTAACACTACCCATAGACTAACACTACCCATAGACTAACACTACCCATAGACTAACACTAACACGTACGTCATCACTAACACTACCCATAGACTAATACTAACACGTACGTCATCACTAACACTACCCATAGACTAACACTACCCATAGACTAACACTAACACGTACGTCATCACTAACACTACCCATACACTAACACTAACACGTACGTCATCACTAACACTACCCATACACTAACACTAACACGTACGTCACCACTAACACTACCCATACACTAACACGTACGTCATCACTAACACTACCCATAGACTAACACTAACACGTACGTCATCACTAACACTACCCATACATTTCGATTTAAAGCTTTCGTGACTGCAGGGATTCATCTTCTTGGTTCTTTCGGTAAAGTCACGTAGAAGGGAAGTAATAAAATAATAAAAATAAAACATAATAAAATAAAATAATTCTCACGACGTTTCGGCTACAACGCAAGCAGCCGTCTTCAGGTGAAGAATGAGACAATGCCAAGCTAGGAGCTTATATATAAGCTGCGTTGGAGGTGGAAGAAAGAACGCCTTAACAAAAGAATGTGCATATGAAGAGGAATTTAGCATATTCATGGAAAAATGCGTAGGAGGTGGGCGGGAGGGTTTCAAAGTCATATTATGCCCATGCATTATGCAGGATCAACAGCACCAAGGGGGGGGGGGGTGCAGGGATTAGCAGTAACAAAGGAAAGGAATGTTAATGATATGTAGCTGCAGTTACTCAACAACCACGTAGAAAACTAAAGTATAAACTACATAAAAAACTAAAGTATAAATAGCATAGCACCATCAGTATACTTACTATACTCTACACTAAGCTGAGTTACTAACAGCAAGTAATACATTACAATTCTACGTCGTAAAAATTATATAATATGCTTCCATCTAAACTTTATTCTATTGCATCACACGAGCATATACCGTACTATATACTGCCAACATTAAATTATATACTGTATTGCTGTAAACCAACCTATATTTTAGACATTTAATATAACACTATGTATTATTCTACCCACCCTAATGTGTGTCGAAATGGTTTATTACGTCCTTCCAATGATTGCTAAGCCAGAATCCATCTTCTCGGTTAAAATTGTCTCTGCGTTTGTGTATGTGGATCGCCTCATGAACGAATCTCTCATGATAGCCAGATGGCTTGCAGAGAACCTCTGTCTTGGAGAAGTCAATATCATGTGAGCCCACTGAGTTGTAACAGTGATCTGCCACGGCTGAGGTGTTTGTCCTACTGTGTTTCAGGTCTGCTTTATGTTCACGGATGCGGTCCGAGACATGTCGTTTGGTTTCCCCAATGTAACTGCTACCACAGAGGCAACTTAGTTTGTAGACGCCAGGGTACTGTATGTCTGGAACCACATCTTTTACAGACGGTACCAGATCACGGATTTTATGTACTGTGTTGAATCGGACCTGGATCTTGTGTTTAATCAGGATTTTGGAGATCTTTTTTGTGACCCCAGCAATGTAGGGTAAGGTGATGGTCTTGAAAGGCTCCTCAACAGGATCCTTCTTGATGGTTGGAGTGATGGCTTTGCGGATTGTGTAGTCGGAGTAACCATTAGCCTTAAGAGCTTGGCGTACGTGTTTGAGTTCACTGGCAATGTGTTCATGGTCGGAGATGCATTGGGCTCTATGATATAGAGTCTTGATGAGGGAATTCTTCTGGGATGGATGGTGGTGGGAATCCGGTTTTAGATAAGCATCCGTATGGGTGGCTTTCCTGTAGACAGAGTGGCTCACTGAACCATCAGGTCTCCTTTTGATTAGGACATCCAAAAAGGGTAGCTTGCCATCTTTTTCGACTTCCATGGTGAATCTGATGGCTGGGTGTATGGAGTTGATGTGGTCGAGAAATTGGTCTAGAGCAATTGGCCACATGGCCGTGCTGCTCTAAAACAATTTCTCGACCACATCAACTAACTGCAGCTACATATCATTAACATTCCTTTCCTTTGTTACTGCTAATCCCTGCACCCCCCCCCCCTTGGTGCTGTTGATCCTGCATAATGCATGGGCATAATATGACTTTGAAACCCCCCCGCCCACCTCCATCGCATTTTTCCATGAATATGCTAAATTCTTCTTCATATGCACATTCTTTTGTTAAGGCGCTCTTTCTTCCACCTCCAACGCAGCTTATATATAAGCTCCTAGCTTGGCATTGTCTCATTCTTCACCTGAAGACGGCTGCTTGCGTTGTAGCCGAAACGTCGTGAGAATTATTTTATTTTATTATGTTTTATTTTTATTATTTTATTACTTCCCTTCTACGTGACTTTACCGAAAGAACCAAGAAGACTACCCATACACTAACACGTACGTCATCACTAACACTACCCATACACTAACACTAACACGTACGTCATCACTAACACTACCCATACACTAACACTAACACGTACGTCATCACTAACACTACCCATACACTAACACGTACGTCATCACTAACACTGCCCATAGACTAACACTAACACGTACGTCATCACTAACACTGCCCATAGACTAACACTAACACGTACGTCATCACTAACACTACCCATAGACTAACACTACCCATAGACTAACACGTACGTCATCACTAACACTACCCATACACTAACACGTACACGTACGTCATTGGAACGGAATCGAAAGAAAGACTGATGACGTTCACATACGGAATGGGAAAGGGTTATAATCAATGCATCTCCTTGCCACGTTTGTCCCTCCACGTAAAATATTCTTGTACTTTGCGGTACTATCATGATGTTTATACTGTTTGTCGTCGTAACTGCCCCCTACTGTACATCTATGAACAAAATAGCTTTACATAGCATGAGATTCCTCCTGCAGTGTCAATAAATAGTCTGATAAAAGTATGTTTTTGTACACATCCCAGCATCGCCACGGCCTCCTAGGAGCGCATCTCATCGGCAAAGCCGTGAATCGGTGTTCAACATCCGGTGTGCGAATCAGCTTGACACCAGTTCTGGGTGGACATATTCATAGACGTGGGTCCGAGTTGAATGGTGCAACTCTTAGTGGATGCAGAGCGAAAATTAACCATCCGCACCGCAGTCGAGGATGAGACGCACGTATACCCGTTGTATCGTGCAATGTAATCGCTTAACGGTATGGGCACATGACCACTTTCGCCGATGCACCTCGCTGACCCCGTGCCTGTGCCGGAAACCTGCGAACAAAGAGCTTCGCGGCTTATCGGATTCCTCCCCCTCCGCCGGTCTAAATGAAGATTTTTATTTCGATGGCCGAAGCGCGCTCACCGCGAGTTTCTCCACTCTCTCGACCGCCTTAGAGTAACAGTTATGCGGCACGTTGATGTAAAAAAATATATTTTAATGGATTCTTTTTTCACTTAAATGCATTTATTTTCATCTTGTTGGTTTTTTCGGTAAAAGTCACGTAGAATGGAAAGAATAAAATAATAAAAATAAAACATAATAAAATAATTCTCACGACCTTTCGGCCACAACGCAAGCAGCCGTCCTCAGGTGAAGAACAGGTCTGTCGAGAAGACAGAGTCTGAATCCATTCCATTTCTGTCTTCTGTCTTCTCGACAGACCTGTTCTTCACCTGAGGATGGCTGCTTGCGTTGTGGCCGAAACGTCGTGAGAATTTTTTTACTATGTTTTATTTTTATTATTTTATTATTTACATTCTACGTGACTTTACCGAAAGAACCAAGAAGATGATTCCCTGCAGTCACGAAAGCTTTAAATCGAAAAAAATGCATTTCTTTTCTTCCGCAGATGTGGACGTTCTCCAAAGGCTAGGCTTGACGCCCAACATCACGCTGGCGACGGCGATGTTGCCACCCGCCAAGCCGGTGACACCTCACGGCGCCGCGCTAGCACCGCCCGGCGTCATGCTCACCAGGAAATCCCAGGTGGAGGCCAAGGTCTCCGACGTCGTTCCGCCAGATTTTTCGCTGGAAATTTCTCCATCGTCCTGAGCGTCCGCCCCCTGCGGCCGAGCCACGCGTTCCTCCTCAGTGTCACCGCGCCGACGGGCGGGGCGGGGGAGGCTCTCACCGCTGAGGCCCCCGCGCTCCTCTTCGGCCTGCAGCTCCTGCCGCGGAAGGTGGCGGTCCACCTGTCCAACGGGAAGCCGCTGCACTTCGGCGTAAACCTGCACGAGCCGAGGCCGCACAGCGTCGCCTTGGCCGTGACGGAGCGGAGCGTGACGCTCTACACCGGGTGCGGCCGCCAGTTCCTGCGGAGGAGCGTCAGCGCGGCCACCAGGCCCGCCATCGGGCCCGAGGCCCTGTTCAAGCTCGGAAGGCTGTCCCGCCGCGCGGTGCCCTTCGAGGGCCTCGTTTGCCAGCTCGACCTCTTCCCCTCGGCCAACGTGGCCGCCGACTACTGCGCCGTCGTTCGCGAGGAGTGCCGAGGCGACGCCGGCGACGACGGCGGCGGAATCGCATCGCTCTCGCCGCCGATGCCGGGCGAGCGGCAGCCCGGCGAAGGCTTCGCCGCAGACGCCAACGGAACGGAGGCCCGGGGGGCGGCCGCTCCCCGGGCGACGGCGCCCCCGCGGCACGCGGCGGAAGGTGGGAGGCGGTGGGGACGCGCGCCCCCGGCGGCGGCGGCCAAGCGGGCTCCGACAACGGCGAGCGAGAACCAGGCCTCGCAGAAGCCTACGGCCTCGGCGAAGAAGGAGCCGGCGGCTTCTTCGAGCGGTGGCGGCGGCGGCGACGGCACGCCGAAGAAGGCTGACAAGGTCCCGCAGTCGTCGTCATCAACGATCACAAAGCCGACCGCTCCTTCGGAGAAAGCGGTCGGCCGTTTAATATCCACCAGTCGGGGTACTACGGCGGTGGCGTCGACGGCAGTGGTGACAGTTGAGGAAATCAACGAACCGGCGGCTCCAACGACGCCCCAAAGTCCCAGGCCCGAAGTGTCGAGCTCGCTTCGCCCGGGCGCCACCCGCGGGAGAAGCGGTACATCCGCGAGTCCACCGGAGACGCGACATGAAGCAGAAGGCGCTTCGGAAGGGCGGGCGGACGGCCCGCCGGGAGACGCCATCGGTGCGGGTGACGGCGGCCTAGAGATCCTGGGCGGCGGGGCGAGCGGCGCGACGGTCACGAGGAGCCCGGCGGATTTCGGCAACGCGACGCAGATCGAGACGCCCCCCCCCAGCGTCGAGACGATGCTGGGCGGTGACGGCTACTCGTTGGGCCATGACGCCACCGACGCCATGGTGCTGCTGCGTGGCTTGGAGGGGCTCCAAGGCCCCGTGGAGACCCTGGGCCTCCTGTGAGTGGCGTGCGTGCATCTGTGTGTGCGCGCGAGTGCTCGCTAACAGCACTTGCACCAATAGCCTGTTCAGGTTATACGGGGGATCTTTATCTTTGTGCACGCGAGTGCTCGCTAACAGCACTTGCCCCAACAGTCTGTTCAGGCTATACGGGGGATCTTTGTCTTTGTGCACGCTAGTGCTCGCTGACAGCACTTGCCCCAATAGCCTGTTCAGGCTATACGGGGGATCTTTGTCTTTGTGCACGCGAGTGCTCGTTAACAGCACTTGCACCAACAGCCTGTTCAGGCTATAAGGGGGATCTTTGTTTTTTGTTGTTGCACGCGGCAGTGTAGCGGTTAGCGCTACGCTACGCTACGAACCCAAGGCGGACCCGAGTTCGATTCCCGCTCACGGCCACCAACCCCGATGACGATTATCTGAGCCGGTCCTGGGCCTCCCCTAGGTCGACTCAGCCTTAATTGAGTATTCGGCGCGGTGTGTAAATGGGCCATGAGGGAGACAAAGGTGGCCGGGCGTGGCGCTGGCCACCCACCCCCTCGTGTGTCGTTCCGGCCTTCATAGGTGCGCCCCAACAGTCCGTTGAAGGCCTAAACGGGGGATCTTTGTACTTGCGTGATCAGGGAGCGGTAGCGCAGTCATCATGGTGAAGGCGCAGCGCTGCAACAGCTTGCTCACGCCGCTCAGAGGTAGTTCTGTGACATCTGCTTCGTTGGGCCATTCTGTGTGGACCCGAGTGCTACCGCAAAGAGCCATTGAGAGCTCAATCTAGAGCGGCGTTCTTCATCGCAAGGCCACTGTAGGCCAAACAGAGTGAGAACACCGCCCACGTCATCATCGTCGTCATCATCATCGTCGTCATCATCGTCATCATCATCGTCGTCATCACCGTCATCATCGTCGTCATCGTCGTCGTCATCGTTGTCATCATCGTCGTCATCATCATCATCGTCGTCATCGTCGTCATCATCTCTGATAAGTGCATATATTATAAGTGCATATATTGTCAGAGTTATGTTTTTTGTTTGCATTATGGCTCCAGGTATTGTGGTCTATGCAAACATGACTCCTTGTAAAAAAAGGTGTCAGTTTTGTTGCCAGATAGAAGGGTAAAAAGCCAATTATCAAGATCATTATTTTTCGATTTAAAGCTTTCGTGACTGCAGGGATTCATCTTCTTGGTTCTTTCGGTAAAGTCTCCCCGACAGACCTGGTCATCACCTGAGGACGGCTGCTTGCGTTGTGGCCGAAACGTCGTAAGAATTATTTTATTATGTTTTATTTTATTATTTTATTATTTCCATTCTACGTGACTTTAGCGAAAGAACCAAGAAGAAAGATCATTATTGTTATTTCACACGAAATTATTGCCACAAATGAACCACAATACCTTGGCTGATCTCGTTGAGGGGCTACGAAGCATCGTCACTCGACACTCCACTGACGCTCGCAGCGGCGGTGGCGGCTTCCGTCTCGGCCGTCGCGTGGCGCTTTCAGATGCGCTTCTGCGGCCGTCTGGAACGTTCTTGCCTTCCGATATTAGGAAGCCACTACTAGCTATTCAACTTTTAAATCATCGTCGTTTACATTGACAAACTCATTTGTTTAGAACTGCTTCTTGTGTTTAGTTGGTTGTCCTTCCCCCCCCCCCCCCCCCGGACCTCCGCTAAACGCGGTTGGCTCCGTAGGGTGCAAAAGAAGTTCAGCGTATACTCACACAAATACAACTTCTTCTTCCAAGACGTACCGGTCAGCCAAATACCACTGTCTCTGTGTCTATGTCTCTCTCTCGCTGTCTGTCTCTCTATCTCTGTCTCTGTTTCTCTGTCTCTCGCTGTCTCTCTCTCGCTGTCTCTCTCTCGCTCTCTCTCTATCTCTCTCTCTCTCTGTCTCTCTGTCTATGTCTCTGTCTCTCTCTCGCTGTCTCTCCTGCTCTCTCTCTCTGTCTCTGTCTCTCTGTCTCTCTCTGTCTCTCTCTGTCTCTCTTTCTCTCTCTCTGTCTTTATCTCTCTCTGTGTGTCTCTCTTTGTCTCTCTCTTTGTGTCTCTCTCGTTGTCTCTCTGTCCCTCTGTCTCTGTCGCTCTCTCTCTCTGTCTCTCTCCCTCTGTTTCTCTCTCTCTCTGTCTCTCTCTGTCTCTTTCTGTCTCTCTATCTCTCTGTCTCTCCAGCGCTCGCCCTAGCGGAAGGCCCCCCTCTCCACCAGCAGCGGGCCTATGCGGGCGGTCGCGAACCCGCTCCTTTGCCCGCGTTTTAACGCCAACGCCGGAATGTGGGGTTGTGTGCAGGGACCGCCTGGGCCCACTGGCCAACGCGGAGTGCAGGGAATGAGAGGACCCAACGTAAGTTGCCCGCCTGCTAGATGTGGGCCACCCTCCCCCCTGCCTACCCTCCCCCTTGTCCACTGGGCTCTCAGAGGTAGCTCTCTGGTATATCCGCTTCCACGGGCCTTTCTGTGTGCACCAGAGTGTCACTTGAAGAAGGAGAAGAAGGGATCTCAGAGGTAGCTCTGTCATATCCGCTTCCGCGCGTGAACGTGAGAACGTTTAGCTCACGTGGTCAAGTTTTCTTTGCGTTCGGCCGCGCAAGTCTAAAGGCTGAGTCGTTAGCCCGCCGCCACCGCCCGACGCAGCCAGCCGGTAGGTTTGTGTCGCTTACGCAAAACGTGCCAATTGGTAACTACTCGGGCCATACACCGGCTGCGCGTCGGAGAGTAAATCCCACCACAACATTAACAATTCGCGTAGGCCGGACGTGATCGCCGGTGACTGCGTCCAGAAACGCGGGGCGGTTTTTTTTTGCTGGACGCATGAAGAGATCCGTCTGCTCGCAGCTCGTTGGGCCACAGCAACGATGACCATTCGGGTCTGGCCGTGCCGGGTGGGTGGGTGGAGGCTCTTGACGGCATAAACTTGGCCACTTCACTATTCAACAAATATATTATTATTTTTTACCGGGTAAGGCCCCACTGAGCTACGAAGCTTTCTTTTTTCGGAAGCGACCTCGCCGTCACCTACGGCAGCACAAGAAAAGCGGCCCGTCGTGGAAACTTCAAGCGGCAGCCAAATTATCCTGAACGCGTGACGTCCATTCTCTAAATGTGCAAAGGAAGAACCGGGAGGACCCGGAGAAAAATCCACGCGCCCCACCACAGGAGAGAGAGCGACACGCAAACTCCAAATATACAGCAGCAGGCGTCAGGGTGGAGATCGAACCCACGACCTCCTGCACACCAGGCGTGGTAGTTAACATCTCCTAGCCACCGTGATGATAATGAGAGAGAGGACACGCAAACTCCAAATATACAGCAGGCGTCAGGGTCGGGATTGAATCCACGACCTCCTGTGTACAGGCGAGGTAATCAACATCTCCTAGAAGCCTAGGCGATCCATGAATAGTTACCAACAACAAACATCAGCTGTGAATTGAGATGAGGGGAGATGGAGGCCTGCCTTGCAATCTGAATGAGATCTGTTTAACAAGTAGTAGTAGGAGGTGCTTTCGCAACCAATATTATCCATAATGGAGGTTTTTGTGGTAAGATTCAGTGAATATAAAGGTTGTGTAGTTAAACCCGCCACCACCCGACACAGCCAATTATGAAGGTTGTGTCACGTAAGCGAAACGTGGCCAATTCGTCGCTAGTGCAGCACCCCACGGGTGGTGAGCTGGAGAGTAAAGCCCACGACAACATTCACAATTCGAGTAGCCGCGACGTTTCACCGGCGATTACGACAACAACAACAACAGCAACAACCAGCAGCATCAGGTGACAGCCACGGAGTTGTGATGTCATTACTTGTAAGCCAATCAGGGGTGTAGGCCAGAGGCTGCGGAGGAGGGGGGGGGGTGATGTATGCACATAAATTACAATGGACATATTCTTCGGTTTTTTCGGTAAAGTCACGTAGGTAAAAAATTAAAATTAAAATTAATTAAAGTAAAATAAAATAAAAAATCACGACGTTACGGAGGCAACACAAGCTTCCGTCTTCAGGTGGAACCGTCACAGCCACGATAGCTGTATCAAGTAAATGAGAGATTACAAGAGCTACCACTCCGTTTATATAATGGTTGAGGGGGGAAGGGCCAAGTAAGGCACACTTTTTTACCTACGTGACTTTACCGAAAAAACCTAAGAATATGAATCCTTGCAGTCACGAAAGCTTCAAATCTAGAATACAATGGACATCTTTAACTGGTTGGGTTATTCACGTGGTGATCAACAACAACAACAACAAACCCGTCTTGCTGTGGGTGAATGAGATGTCACTGTCTGCTTGTTTGTGTTTATCATTCCCAAGGGACTGCGTGGACCTCACGGTAATCCTGGCGTGCCCGGTCCACCAGGCTTGATGGTGAGCAACATCGCACGTGTCGTGCTGTTAGTCTATGGACAGTGTTGAGTCTATGGGTAGTGTTGAGTCTATGGGCAGTGTTGAGTCTATGGGTAGTGTTGAGTCTATGGGCAGTGTTGAGTCTATGGGCAGTGTTGAGTCTATGGCAGTGTTTGTCTATGGGCAGTGTTGAGTCTATGGGTAGTGTTGAGTCTATGGGTGTTGAGTCTATGGTGTTGAGTCTATGGGTAGTGTTGAGTCTATGGGCAGTGTTGAGTCTATGGGTGTTGAGTCTATGGGTGTTGAGTCTATGGGCAGTGTGAGTCTATGGGCAGTGTTGAGTCTATGGGTAGTTTGAGTCTATGGGTAGTGTTGAGTCTATGGGCAGTGTTGAGTCTATGGGCAGTGTTGAGTCTATGGGCAGTGTTGAGTCTATGGGCAGTGTTGAGTCTATGGGTAGTGTTGAGTCTATGGGCATGTTGAGTCTCTATGGGTGTTGAGTCTATGGGCAGTGTTGAGTCTATGGGCAGTGTTGAGTCTATGGGTAGTGTTGAGTCTATGGGTAGTGTTGAGTCTATGGGCAGTGTTGAGTCTATGGGTAGTGTTGAGTCTATGGGCAGTGTTGAGTCTATGGGCAGTGTTGAGTCTATGGGTAGTGTGTTAGTCTATGGTAGTGTTGAGTCTATGGGCAGTGTTGAGTCTATGGAGTGTTGAGTCTATGGGTAGTGTTGAGTCTATGGGCAGTGTTGAGTCGGGGCAGTGTTGAGTCTATGGGTAGTGTTGAGTCTATGGGCAGTGTTGAGTCTATGGGCAGTGTTGAGTCTATGGGTAGTGTTGAGTCTATGGGTAGTGTTGAGTCTATGGGCAGTGTTGAGTCTATGGGCAGTGTTGAGTCTATGGGTAGTGTTGAGTCTATGGGCAGTGTTGAGTCTATGGGCAGTGTTGAGTCTATGGGCAGTGTTGAGTCTATGGGTAGTGTTGAGTCTATGGGCAGTGTTGAGTCTATGGGTGTGAGTCTATGGGTAGTGTTGAGTCTATGGGTAGTGTTGAGTCTATGGGCAGTGTTGAGTCTATGGGCAGTGTTGAGTCTATGGGCAGTGTTGAGTCTATGGGCAGTGTTGAGTCTATGGGCAGTGTTGAGTCTATGGGCAGTGTTGAGTCTGGGCAGTGTTGAGTCTATGGGCAGTGTTGAGTCTATGGGCAGTGTTGAGTCTATGGGCAGTGTTGAGTCTATGGCAGTGTTGAGTCTATGGCAGTGTTGAGTCTATGGGTAGTGTTGAGTCTATGGGCAGTGTTGAGTCGATGGGCAGTGTTGAGTCTATGGGCAGTGTTGAGTCTATGGAGTGTTGAGTCTATGGGCAGTGTTGAGTCTATGGATGTTGAGTCTATGGGCAGTGTTGAGTCTATGGGCAGTGTTGAGTCTATGGGTAGTGTTGAGTCTATGGGCAGTGTTGAGTCTATGGGCAGTGTTGAGTCTATGGGAGTGTTGAGTCTATGGGCAGTGTTGAGTCTATGGGCAGTGTTGAGTCTATGGGTAGTGTTGAGTCTATGGGCAGTGTTGAGTCTATGGGCAGTGTTGAGTCTATGGGCAGTGTTGAGTCTATGGGTAGTGTTGAGTCTATGGGCAGTGTTGAGTGTATGGGTAGTTTTGAGTCTATGGGCAGTGTTGAGTCTATGGGCAGTGTTGAGTCTATGGGTAGTGTTGAGTCTATGGGCAGTGCTGAGTCTATGGGCAGTGTTGAGTGTATGGGTAGTTTTGAGTCTATGGGTAGTGTTGAGTCTATGGGCAGTGTTGAGTCTATGGGTAGTGTTGAGTCTATGGGCAGTGTGAGTCTATGGGCAGTGTTGAGTCTATGGGTAGTGTTGAGTCTATGGGCAGTGTTGAGTCTATGGGCAGTGTTGAGTCTATGGGCAGTGTTGAGTCTATGGGTGGCAGTGTTGAGTCTATGTAGTGTTGAGTCTATGTAGTGTTGAGTCTATGGGCAGTGTTGAGTCTATGGGTAGTGTTGAGTCTATGGGCAGTGTTGAGTCTATGGGCAGTGTTGAGTCTATGGGTAGTGTTTAGTCTATGGGCAGTGTTGAGTCTATGGGTAGTGTTGAGTCTATGGGCAGTGTTGAGTCTATGGGCAGTGTTGAGTCTATGGGTAGTGTTGAGTCTATGGGTAGTGTTGAGTCTATGGGTAGTGTTGAGTCTATGGGCAGTGTTGAGTCTATGGGTAGTGTTGAGTCTATGGGGAGTGTTGAGTCTATGGGCAGTGTTGAGTCTATGGGCAGTGTTGAGTCTATGGGTAGTGTTGAGTCTATGGGCAGTGTTGAGTCTATGGGTAGTGTTGAGTCTATGGGCAGTGTTGAGTGTATGGGTAGTTTTGAGTCTATGGGTAGTGTTGAGTCTATGGGCAGTGTTGAGTCTATGGGCAGTGTTGAGTCTATGGGAGTGTTGAGTCTATGGGTGTTGAGTCTATGGGCAGTGTTGAGTCTATGGGCAGTGTTGAGTCTATGGGTAGTGTTGAGTCTATGGGCAGTGTTGAGTCTATGGGCAGTGTTGAGTCTATGGGTAGTGTTGAGTCTATGGGCAGTGTTGAGTCTATGGGCAGTGCTGAGTCTATGGGCAGTGTTGAGTCTACGGGCATGAGTGTTATGGGTAGTGTTGAGTCCTATGGGTAGTGTTTGAGTCTACGGGCAGTGTTGAGTCTATGGGTAGTGTTGAGTCTATGGTAGTGTGAGTCTATGGGTAGTTGTTGAGTCTATGGGCAGTGTGAGTCTATGGGTATGTTGAGTCTATGGGCAGTGTTGAGTCTATGGGTAGTGTTGAGTCTATGGGCAGTGTTGAGTCTATGGGTAGTGTTGAGTCTATGGGCAGTGTTGAGTCTATGGGTAGTGTTTCTATGGCAGTGTTGAGTCCTATGGGTAGTGTTGAGTCTATGGGTAGTGTTGAGTCTATGGGCAGTGTTGAGTCTATGGGCAGTGTGATTCTATGGGCAGTTGAGTCTACGGGCAGTGTTGAGTCTATGGGTATGTTGAGTCTACGGGTAGTGTTGAGTCTACGGGCAGTGTTGAGTCTATGGGTAGTGTTGAGTCTATGGTAGTGTTGAGTCTATGGGTATGTTGAGTCTATGGGCAGTGTTGAGTCTATGGGTAGTGTTATCTATGGGCAGTGTTGAGTCTATGGGTAGTGTTGAGTCTATGGGCAGTGTTGAGTCTATGGGTAGTGTTGAGTCTATGGGCAGTGTTGAGTCTATGGGTAGTGTTGAGTCTATGGGTAGTGTTGAGTCTATGGGCAGTGTTAGTCTATGGGCAGTGTTGAGTCTATGGGCAGTGTTGAGTCTATGGGTAGTGTTGAGTCTATGGGCATGTTGAGTCTATGGGCAGTGTTGAGTCTATGGGCAGTGTTGAGTCTATGGGCATGTTTAGTCTATGGGTAGTGTAGTTATGGGCAGTGTTGAGTCTATGGGCAGTGTTGATCTATGGGCAGTGTTGAGTCTATGGGCAGTGTTGAGTCTATGGGCAGTGTTGAGTCTATGGGTAGTGTTGAGTCTATGGGCAGTGTTGAGTCTATGGGCAGTGTTGAGTCTGTGGGTAGTGTTGAGTCTATGGGCAGTGTTGAGTCTATGGGCAGTGTTGAGTCTATGGGCAGTGTTGAGTCTATGGGCAGTGTTGAGTCTATGGGTAGTGTTGAGTCTATGGGCAGTGTTGAGTCTATGGTAGTGTTGAGTCTATGGGTAGTGTTGAGTCTATGGGCAGTGTTGAGTCTATGGGTAGTGTTGAGTCTATGGGCAGTGTTGAGTCTATGGGTAGTGTTGAGTCTATGGGTAGTGTTGAGTCTATGGGCAGTGTTGAGTCTATGGGTAGTGTTGAGTCTATGGGCAGTGTTGAGTCTACGGGCAGTGTAGCTATTTCGTGAATAACGCGGGAACACCGTTAATTCACTCACACTCGTAGAGAGACGACTCAAGAATCAAAGACAAATGGGAAGCCAGCTGCCACGTGATAAACCGGCACCGAGCTCTGCTGTCCTCTATATATTCAAGTGTTTTTTTACACGCTTTTATTCAACTCACTCTGTCTGTTGTTGTTGTCGTCGTTGTTGTATCCTCAAATTTTGTAACTAAATTTTAACTCACTTCCCAATGTGGTATCGGCTGCAAACTTGGTATACTGATGTCATACTGACGACAATACTATATTCTATCATAAAAAATATATATTTTTTTAAACATTATTTTTTAGATGTTATGTTTCGGCTTGGGTCTAATTGCCCACGGTCAACTGACGTTGGCTGTGATTGGCCACGGTCTCCTTACGTTATGTCAAGCTTCGGGGGCCACTTCGTGGAGTCGTGGATTTCTTACATTACTAGTACATTTCATAAAAGCGTGTTAAATTTGTTTTAAACATTACTGATTTTTCGACCAGTTGACGAGTGTCAATTTACTCGCTGCCCATCGAACGAATCGACGCTGATGAGACGCACTCGCCCCAGAAGGACGTGCGGTCGATGGGACGTGTTTCAACCGACCAAGAAATTTAGCCACGTGGAGAGCCACAAAATTACGGGGCGGTGGTAGGCGTCCACTCGTTAATCGCCGCTTGAATTCTCCGCAAGAACGACTCCCCGGCTGACGACGCCGTTGATGTCCGGCGCCAACGTGCGGTCCGTGCGATCCGCACCCATGGTCGTTGGTTCACCCGGCTCTCTCTCACCCCAGGGACTCACCGGTGACCCGGGCATGGAGGCCCCGAGGGGCCCCCCAGGAAAGAAGGTGAGTGTCCCGTCAACCCCTTGCACCCGGGGCTCGGACCGTGAACTACACTCGACACGTGAATGTCGGAGCAGAAGTGACGACGTTGATGAGTTGTGTCGACGGAGCTGCCCTCCCTTACGCTGGCAACTTTACGTCTGCAAAGTCTGTGGGCAGTGTTGAGTCTATGGGCAGTGTTGAGTCTATGGGCAGTGTTGAGTCTATGGGCAGTGTTGAGTCTATGGGCAGTGTTGAGTCTATGGGCAGTGTTGAGTCTATGGGCAGTGTTGAGTCTATGGGCAGTGTTGAGTCTATGGGCAGTGTTGAGTCTATGGGCAGTGTTGAGTCTGGACAGTGTTGAGTCTATGGGTAGTGTTGAGTCTATGGGCAGTGTTGAGTCTATGGGCAGTGTTGAGTCTGGACAGTGTTGAGTCTATGGGCAGTGTTGAGTCTATGGGCAGTGGTGAGTCTATGGGCAGTGTTGAGTCTGGACAGTGTTGAGTCTATGTGCAGTGTTGAGTCTATGGGCAGTGTTGAGTCTATGGGCAGTGTTGAGTCTGGACAGTGTTGAGTCTATGGGCAGTGTTGAGTCTATGGGCAGTGTTGAGTCTATGGGCAGTGTTGAGTCTATGGGTAGTGTTGAGTCTATGGGCAGTGTTGAGTCTATGGGCAGTGTTGAGTCTATGGGCAGTTTTGAGTCTATGGGCAGTGTTGAGTCTATGGGCAGTGTTGAGTCTATGGGTAGTGTTGAGTCTATGGGCAGTGTTGAGTCTGTGGGTAGTGTTGAGTCTATGGGCAGTGTTGAGTCTATGGGCAGTGTTGAGTCTATGGGCAGTGTTGAGTCTATGGGTAGTGTTGAGTCTATGGGCAGTGTTGTGTCTATGGGCAGTGTTGAGTCAATGGGCAGTGTTGAGTCTATGGGCAGTGTTGAGTCTATGGGTAGTGTTGAGTCTATGGGTAGTGTTGAGTCTATGGGCAGTGCTGAGTCTATGGGTAGTGTTGAGTCTATGGGTAGTGTTGAGTCTATGGGCAGTGCTGAGTATATGGGTAGTGTTGAGTCTATGGGTAGTGTTGAGTCTATGGGCAGTGCTGAGTCTATGGGTAGTGTTGAGTCTATGGGCAGTGTTGAGTCTGTGGGTAGTGTTGAGTCTATGGGTAGTGTTGAGTCTATGGGTAGTGTTGAGTCTATGGGTAGTGTTGAGTCTATGGGCAGTGTTGAGTCTATGGGTAGTGTTGAGTCTATGGGCAGTGCTGAGTCTATGGGTAGTGTTGAGTCTATGGGCAGTATTGAGTCTGGACAGTGTTGAGTCTATGGGTAGTGTTGAGTCTATGGGTAGTGTTGAGTCTATGGGCAGTGTTGAGTCTGTGGGCAGTGTTGAGTCTATGAGCAGTGTTGAGTCTATGGGCAGTGTTGAGTCTATGGGTAGTGTTGAGTCTATGGGTAGTGTTGAGTCTATGGGTAGTGTTGAGTCTATGAGCAGTGTTGAGTCTATGGGCAGTGTTGAGTCTATGGGTAGTGTTGAGTCTATGGGCAGTGTTGAGTCTATGGGTAGTTTTATTTCGATTTAAAGCTTTCGTGACTGCAGGGATTCATCTTCTTGTTTCTTTCGGTAAAGTCACGTAGAAGGGAAGTAATAAAATAATAAAAATAAAACATAATAAAACAATTCTCACGACGTTTCGGCTACAACGCAAGCAGCCGTCTTCAGGTGAAGAATGAGACACTACCAAACTAGGAGCTTATATATAAGCTGCATTGGGGGTTGAAGAGCGCCTTAACAAAAAGAATGTGCATGTGAAGAGGGATTTAGCATATTCATGGAAAATGCGTAGGCGTTGGGCGGGGGGGTGTCAAAGTCATATTATGCCCATGCATTATGCAGGATCAGCAGCAACCAAGGGGGGTGCAGGGATTAGCAGTAACAAAGGAAAGGAATGTTAATGATATGTAGCTGCAGTTACTCAACAACCACGTAGAAAACTAAAGTATAAACTACATAAAAAACTAAAGTATAAACTGCATCGCACCATCAGTATACTTACTATACTCTATAATAAGCTGAGTTACTAACAGCAAGTAATACATTAAAATTTTACCTCGTAAAAATTCTATAATATGCTTCCATCTAAACCTTATTCTCTTACATCACACGAGCATATACCGTACTATATACTGCCATAGATAAACCCAACATTAAATTATATACTGTATTGCTGTAAACCAACCTATATCTTATACATTTAATATCACACTATGTATTATTCTACACACCCTAATGTGTATCGAAATGGTTTATTACGTCCTTCCAATGATTGCTGAGCCAGAATCCATCTTCTCGGTTAAAGTTGTCTCTGTGTTTGTATATGTGGATCGCCTCATGAACGAATCTCTCATGATAGCCAGATGGCTTGCAGAGAACCTCTGTCTTGGAGAAGTCAATATCATGTGAGCCCACTGAGTTGTAACAGTGATCTGCCACGGCTGAGGTGTTAGTCCTACCGTGTTTCAGGTCAGCTTTATGTTCACGGATGCGGTCCGAGACATGTCGTTTGGTTTCCCCAATGTAACTGCTACCACAGAGGCAACTTAGTTTGTAGACGCCAGGGTACTGTATGTCTGGAACCACATCTTTTACAGACGGTACCAGATCACGGATTTTATGTACTGTGTTGAATCGGACCTGGATCTTGTGTTTAATCAGGATTTTGGAGATCTTTTTTGTGACCCCAGCAATGTAGGGTAAGGTGATGGTCTTGAAAGGCTCCTCAACAGGATCCTTCTTGATGGTTGGAGTGATGGCTTTGCGGATTGTATAGTCGGAGTAACCATTTGCCTTAAGAGCTTGGCGTACGTGTTTGAGTTCACTGGAAATGTGTTCATGGTCGGAGATGCATTGGGCTCTATGATATAGAGTCTTGATGAGGGAATTCTTCTGAGATGGATGGTGGTGGGAATCCGGTTTTAGATAAGCATCCGTGTGGGTGGCTTTCCTGTAGACAGAGCCACTCTGTCTACAGGAAAGCCACCCACACGGATGCTTATCTAAAAACCGGATTCCCACCACCATCCATCTCAGAAGAATTCCCTCATCAAGACTCTATATCATAGAGCCCAATGCATCTCCGACCATGAACACATTTCCAGTGAACTCAAACACGTACGCCAAGCTCTTAAGGCAAATGGTTACTCCGACTATACAATCCGCAAAGCCATCACTCCAACCATCAAGAAGGATCCTGTTGAGGAGCCTTTCAAGACCATCACCTTACCCTACATTGCTGGGGTCACAAAAAAGATCTCCAAAATCCTGATTAAACACAAGATCCAGGTCCGATTCAACACAGTACATAAAATCCGTGATCTGGTACCGTCTGTAAAAGATGTGGTTCCAGACATACAGTACCCTGGCGTCTACAAACTAAGTTGCCTCTGTGGTAGCAGTTACATTGGGGAAACCAAACGACATGTCTCGGACCGCATCCGTGAACATAAAGCTGACCTGAAACACGGTAGGACTAACACCTCAGCCGTGGCAGATCACTGTTACAACTCAGTGGGCTCACATGATATTGACTTCTCCAAGACAGAGGTTCTCTGCAAGCCATCTGGCTATCATGAGAGATTCGTTCATGAGGCGATCCACATATACAAACACAGAGACAACTTTAACCGAGAAGATGGATTCTGGCTCAGCAATCATTGGAAGGACGTAATAAACCATTTCGATACACATTAGGGTGTGTAGAATAATACATAGTGTGATATTAAATGTATAAGATATAGGTTGGTTTACAGCAATACAGTATATAATTTAATGTTGGGTTTATCTATGGCAGTATATAGTACGGTATATGCTCGTGTGATGTAAGAGAATAAGGTTTAGATGGAAGCATATTATAGAATTTTTACGAGGTAAAATTGTAATGTATTACTTGCTGTTAGTAACTCAGCTTATTATAGAGTATAGTAAGTATACTGATGGTGCGATGCAGTTTATACTTTAGTTTTTTATGTAGTTTATACTTTAGTTTTCTACGTGGTTGTTGAGTAACTGCAGCTACATATCATTAACATTCCTTTCCTTTGTTACTGCTAATCCCTGCACCCCCCTTGGTTGCTGCTGATCCTGCATAATGCATGGGCATAATATGACTTTGACACCCCCCCCGCCCAACGCCTACGCATTTTCCATGAATATGCTAAATCCCTCTTCACATGCACATTCTTTTTGTTAAGGCGCTCTTCAACCCCCAATGCAGCTTATATATAAGCTCCTAGTTTGGTAGTGTCTCATTCTTCACCTGAAGACGGCTGCTTGCGTTGTAGCCGAAACGTCGTGAGAATTGTTTTATTATGTTTTATTTTTATTATTTTATTACTTCCCTTCTATGGGTAGTGTTGAGTCTATGAGCAGTGTTGAGTCTATGGGCAGTGTTGAGTCTATGGGTAGTGTTGAGACTATGGGCAGTGTTGAGTCTATGAGCAGTGTTGAGTCTATGGGCAGTGTTGAGTCTATGGGTAGTGTTGAGTCTATGGGCAGTGTTGAGTCTATGAGCAGTGTTGAGTCTATGGGCAGTGTTGAGTCTATGGGTAGTATTGAGTCCATGGGTAGTGTTGAGTCTATGGGCAGTGTTGAACCTATGGGTAGTTTTGAGTCTATGGGCAGTGTTGAGTTTATGGGCAGTGTTGAGTTTATGGGTAGTGTTGAGTCTGAACCGAATCTCCTGCGTGCCAGGCGAGGTAGTTAACATCTCCTGGCCACCGTGGCTCCCTTTGAAGGGGCACGCCCAGTGGCAGCTGTCCGAAAGGTGGCCCGGCAACTCTTCAGCGAGCCGGGCTTTTAGTCTGCCAGCGGCGGGCAGGTGAGTGCCGCCGTTGCGCGAGTCCCGATCGAGTCATTTGCCGACGTGATTACTTTTCATTTTTTGGGTTCAACAAAAAATAAAACAATAAAAATCACGACGTTTCGGAGGCAACACAAGTCTCCGTCATCAGGTGGGACCGTCACAGCCAGATTTGCTGCATCAAGTGAGGGAGGGATTCAAGGTGTAAGCTCTTAAGTACCAGTTAAGGGGGGAGGGGGGGAGGGGCTTATCAGAATGTGGTAGCCAATGAATGGAACGTATCGGGAGGGGGGGGCGGGGCTAACAGAGTATGAATCCTTGCAGTCACGAAAGCTTCAAATCTAGAATTCAACAAAAAACTTTGGCAAACTCTTGACCGCCGACGAACACAACCTCCTCCGGCATCGTCACAGGTTCGACGCGCCCGGCCCGTCGCTACCGGAGCCGGCGTTTCGGAAGAAGTCGCGGGACGAACATCCGCGGAGGGTGTCGGAAGACCGCGCCCAGAGTAGGGGGCGGATGGTTGATCTTCCACGGAGATGCTCATGGTCCCACAACCCATCCACAGAACCACCCACTGCACAAAACCATGGCAGCGGCAGTAGATACCGATGACGCACGGATGACGCACGAATGGGGAATTTAAAAGGCCTCCGGTTAGTAGCGTGGCGACTGTGGGTCATCCAGAACGGAACCGTCGTACAGCGCGCGACGAGGCAATGCCCCGATCCACAAATACGAAGCAGACATCATGACGACGACGATGATGATGCAACCGGCTCCTGACGCGGTTATCCGACGGCCTGACCACCTGGAATGTGAAATCTTCGTTGTTGGCTCTGCGTCAACATCAGCAGCCGTATAACTTTTAGTTAAACCAAAAATATAGATACATTCACGGTAAATGATCACGTCTCTGTGCTTTTATGTTTCAGGGCTACCCAGGACCCATGGGTCCAAAGGGCCCTCCGGGACAAGAAGGGCCAAAGGTAATTTGGGGCACCGCGGTGGCTATGAGATGTTAACTACCTTGCCTAGTGTACAGGAGGTCGTGGGTTCGATCCTGACCACGACGCCTGCTGCTGTATATTTGGAGTTTGTGGTGTTTCTCTCTCTCATCATCATCATGGTGGCTAGGAGATGTTAACTACCTCGCCTGGTGTACAGGAGGTTGTGGGCTCCATCCCGACCCTGACGCCTGCTGCTGTATATTTGGAGTTTGTGGTGTTTCTCTCTCTCATCATCATCACGGTGGCTAGGAGATGTTAACTACCTCGCCTGGTGTACAGGAGGTCGTGGGCTCCATCCCGACCCTGACGCCTGCTGCTGTAGATTTGGAGTTTGTGGTGTTTCTCTCTCTCATTATCATCACGGTGGCTAGGAGATGTTAACTACCTCGCCTGGTGTACAGGAGGTCGTGGATTCGATCCTGACTATAACGCTTGCTGCTGTATATTTAGAATTTGTGGTGTTCTCTCTCTCATCATCATCACGGTGGCTATGAGATGTTAACTACCTCGCCTGGTATACAGGAGGTCGTGGATTCGATCCAGACCCTGACGCTTGCTGCTGTATATTTGGAATTTGTGGTGTTTCTCTCTCTCATCATCATCACGGTGGCTATGAGATCTTAACTACTTTACCTGGTATACAGGAGGTCGTGGGTTCGATCCCAAACCTGACGCCTGCTGCTGTATATGTGTAATTCACGTGTCTCTGTTTCTCTCCGTGGTGGCTGCTTGGGTTTTTCTCTGGGTCCTCCAGTTTTTCACCCTCAGCATTTAGAACCAACGTCACCACGCGTTGAGAGCATTTGCCCCACCGCTATTTAATTTCCACGCGACGGTGATGGTGATGACGATGAGACCACTTCGTTGGCGCTAATCATTTGTGACGGACAGGCTCGCTTCTGAAGAAGAGCAACGTAGCAACTCTGTGGGACCTTACCTGGTGACAATGCAACGTTCAACATTCTAGCTTTTTATTACAAACGGCCGTCTAAGCAAAGAGCCTGATTTTAAATTTAGATTTAAAGCTTTCGTGACTGCAGGGATTCATCTTGTTGGTTCTTTCGGTAAAGTCATGTGGAAGGGAAATAATAAAATAATAAGAATGAAACATAATAAAATGCAATTCTCACGACGTTTCGGCCACAACGCCGAAACGTCGTGAGAATTGTCGGCAGACCTGTTCTTCACTGAGGACGGCTGCTTGCGTTGTGGCCGAAACGTCGTGAGAATTGTATTTTATTATGTTTAATTCTTATTATTTTATTATTTCCCTTCTATGTGACTTTACCGAAAGAACCAAGAAGATGAATCCCTGCAGTCACGAAAGCTTTAAATCGAAATCTATGGGCAGTGTTGAGTCTATGGGCAGTGTTGAGTCTATGGGCAGTGTTGAATCTATGGGCAGTGTTGAGTCTATGGGCAGTGTTGAATCTATGGATAGTGTTGAGTCTATGGGCAGTGTTGAGTCTATGGGCAGTAAAGAACATGTCTGTCGGAAAGACAGCGTCTGAATGTCTTCCCGACAGACCTGTTCTTCACCTGAGGACGGCTGCTTGCGTTGTGGCCGAAACGTCGTGAGAATTGTATTTTATTTTGTTTTATTATTTTATTATTTCCCTTCTACGTGACTTTACCGAAAGAACCAAGGAGATGAAAGCCTGATTTTATTTTATATATACGTGATTATATAAAAATCTATATAAATAAATAAAATATATCTCTTCTCTCCGTCACCGCTAAACTAATTTCCTCTGCCATGCTCTGACACACGTGCGGAGCAAACCATGGATTTGTGTCCCGATGAATCCCCCCCTCCCTCCCTCCCTCTCCTCCATAAATCGAACGCTGGGCCTGGCATCGGCCAAGCGCCGGCATCGGCCAAAACTTCACGACCAAATATGCGCGCGGTCGTTTTGTGTTGATTTCATATTTTTATTATCGCCGCCACCGCCACCGTTGCCGGCACTCTAAAATTTTGGTGAATGTCATTGACATTTGCCAGAGAAAATACTTTGATTTATGTGTATTTTAATGATATATGAATATTAATCGATGTATTTTAATCTGGGGCACATGTTTGAATGGCTTCGAGGTTTCTAAGCGTACGTGGGGGGAGGTGAGCTCCCAGCTGAGCCAGACGCACGCGCATTGAACTTATTTCGCACCGTACGTAGCCAACCGTGCTAATCGGATGTGCAGTGTTGAGTCTATGGGCAGTGTTGAGTCTATGGGCAGTGCTGAGTCTATGGGCAGTGTTGAGTCTGTGGGCAGTGTTGAGTCTATGGGCAGTGTTGAGTCTATGGGCAGTGTTGAGTCTATGGGCAGTGCTGAGTCTATGGGCAGTGTTGAGTCTGTGGGCAGTGTTGAGTCTATAGGCAGTGTTGAGTCTATGGGCAGTGTTGAGTCTATGGGCAGTGTTGAGTCTATGGGCAGTGTTGAGTCTATGGGCAGTGGTGAGTCTATGGGCAGTGTTGAGTCTATGGGCAGTTTTGAGTCTATGGGCAGTGTTGAGTCTATGGGCAGTGTTGAGTCTATGGGCAGTGTTGAGTCTATGGGCAGTGTTGAGTCTATGGGCAGTTTTGAGTCTATGGGCAGTGGTGAGTCTATGGGTAGTGTTGAGTCTATGGGCAGTTTTGAGTCTATGGGCAGTGTTGAGTCTATGGGCAGTGTTGAGTCTATGGGCAGTTTTGAGTCTATGGGCAGTGTTGAGTCTATGGGCAGTGTTGAGTCTATGGGCAGTGTTGAGTCTATGGGCAGTGTTGAGTCTATGGGCAGTGTTGAGTCTATGGGCAGTGGTGAGTCTATGGGTAGTGTTGAGTCTATGGGCAGTTTTGAGTCTATGGGCAGTGTTGAGTCTATGGGCAGTGTTGAGTCTATGGGCAGTTTTGAGTCTATGGGCAGTGTTGAGTCTATGTGCAGTGTTGAGTCTATGGGCAGTGTTGAGTCTATGGGTAGTGTTGAGTCTATGTGCAGTGTTAGTCTATGGGTAGTGTTGAGTCTATGGGCAGTGTTGAGTCTATGGGCAGTGTTGAGTCTATGGGTAGTGTTGAGTCTATGGGCAGTGTTGAGTCTATGGGCAGTGTTGAGTCTACGTGCAGTGTTGAGTCTATGGGCAGTATTGAGTCTATGGGCAGTGTTGAGTCTACGTGCAGTGTTGAGTCTATGGGCAGTGTTGAGTCTACGGGCAGTGTTGAGTCTATGGGTAGTGTTGAGTCTATAGGCAGTGATGAGTCTATGGGTAGTGATGAGTCTATGGGTAGTGTTGAGTCTATGGCTAGTGTTGAGTCTATGGCTAGTGCTGAGTCTATGGTGCAGTGTTAGTCTATCCAGCAGGTGTTATTTCATGGCGGCTTCGCCACGCTCACTTCGCGTTGAGCGTTCCCAGGTGGTTCGTGCGGATTCGGCCACGGAGACGCAAAGCGCTAAGGCGGCGGCGAGTGGCTCGATGGTGCCTCGCCGCTCTGAGATTTTCGTTCCACATGCGTCAACCTTGGCCTCGGCGTTTAAAGTTGAGCTTTCTTTGTAGCCGAGTGTACGATGCGGGGTTACCCCCCCCCCCCCCCCCCGAGGCACAGCAGGGTGACTCTGCTGTTCGAGGCTCTGGTGACGTTTCAGTGTCGCTCCGTATCACTCAGGTGGAAGGCACGGATTTGGGCTTTGCTCGGGTTGGGTTTGAGATTATTATTATTATTTTAGATTTGATGCTTTTGTGACTGCAGGGATTCATCTTCTTGGTTCTTGCGGTAAAGTCACGTAGAAGGGAAATAATAAAATGATAAAAATACAACATAATAAAATATTTTAATATTATTTCCCTTCTACGTGACTTTACCGAAAGAAACAAGAAGATTATTAGTATTATTTAGGTCGTATTATTCACCCCGAGACCAGCTACATCTTACCACGTGAAGCCCAGATGAAGCCCACTCACTTGTTACTCAGAAGCAACCTCGCCACAAATGATAGCTCATTTAAGTGGCTCATCACGTGAACATTTACAGCGGCCAAATACTGTTAACGTGTAACGTTGATTCTAAATGTGGAGGAGGGAAACCGGAGGAGCCGGAGAAAAATCCACGCGACCACGTGGAGAGAGATAGAGAGAGACATGGACACTCAAAATATTGCTGTAGGCGTCAATGATGCAATATCAATTCTTTTCACTAGTCAACAAAATAAATAAAAAATTCTGGCCTGGACTTTTGCAGCTGTTTTAGACTAATTTCAGGGTGCTGATTCCAAATCTGATCTCAGATTTGTTCTATCACATCTCATTTTATGCTATCGGCATACCCCATTTTCATTGATTTTACCTGAAATTAACTCCGTACTTATGATTGCAAGTTGTTGCGAGTCAGTGACTGCTTTAGTGTTAAAATATGGTGCTGTATTTTTAGGATAGTGTGTTTATAATATCATTTTATGTAGATATCCACATTTTTTAAATATTTTTCTTCTGCAGTTTTTATTGAAAATGCAATATTTGATGTGATAGACAAAAGCTGATGCCAGATTTGGAATCAGCACCTCAAAATTACCTTAAAACCGTTGGAATACCTTATGCCAGAAAAAAAGTGTGTTGACCAGTGAATTATCAAATATACAGCAGCAGCAGGCGTCGGGGTCGGGAACGATCCGACAACCTCCCGCATACCAGGTGAGGTAGTTAACATCTCGCACAGTGGCGAGATGTAACCCGTAACACATTTAGATTTCAGCTTGGAATGAAATGGCCCTTCCTCGCCAGCGACGGAGCCCGCTGCGTTTGGGACAGAGACAAATGAGCTCACCGCAATGTCTCCGATGACTTATCACCCTCGGCGGTTTTTTCCTTTTTTTCCTCTCTCTCTTGTTTTTTTTTCTCTCCGATCATAACTTTCGTGGAATCGAGCGACGCGGCAAATATCGATCGACTTCGGCGGTGTCACTTGAGCCCCTGATAGACCACTGAACCACCAAACGATGATGACCTGGGTTCG